TCGGAGGAATCTTATTATTATTATTTCTCAACTAATTATTATTGTTATTATTTTTTATTGCTTTTGTGCAGTTGCAGCATCTTAACTTCCTCCGATTTCACCTTAAAGAAACGGCAAATGTTAAAAGCAGATGCTGCTTCTTCATCCCTCGATAAAATTTGGTAACCGTATGTCATAACGCTAATTGTTCCGCTAACAATCTGTCCCTTACGGGCCTGTTTTAAAATTCAGGTAAGAAGCTACAGATCCATTCATTTGAACGCACTATTCAAACCCGGCCTAAGGATAAAAACGTGAAATTTCGTAGCAGTACTCCCCTGAATCAGTTCACTCGTTACATAATTAAAAAAATACATTTTATTAATTAGTAAGTAAACATGTTATTTACTATAACTAATAAATCTTACAACTAATTAATGTTATCGTTCGATCTTCGTCTGTTCAACAGCTGGTGTCTTTGTTTATTGCGTTGTAGATGTAAAAATAACACGGCGCGACATCTATGGACCGCGTACTGAAAGCATAGTTGTATACTTTTACTTATATATTAAGGACAGTGTGGTATAGATGACGCCACCTATTAATCTGACTAAAACTTTTTGCAGAGGTCTATTTTTATTGAAGCAAACTATATTAGAAAATAATTTGTGGTAAATTGGATAAAGCGATTACTATGAAAAAAATAACGAGACATGACCACTTTTTTATTGTACAGTTGTTTCAACAAAACGGAATTTGCTTACCCACGAGTAGTTATTTTATCAAATCGTGGATAAAAACCAACACGTCACTAAAAACAAGAAATAATCTGGAATTCCATTTGTGTTATTTGGTTTCGTTTTCCAGAAAATTGTCTGTAATTTGTTCAACAATTCCCGATGTCGCTTAAACCAAAGAATACCCTATTAGGTACTCGAAGTTTCTCTGAATCTATAGCAATAGATATGTGATATGTCGTAGCGCTTTAACTACAGTGCCTTTTTGACGAATTTAAATTGTTTCATCAGCCGATAAGTTAGTGTCGTCAGGTGTTGCACGTTGCACTAAATGATTTGGCAATCAGTACCTATCCACACAAAATGTTATGTTGAAACATCTTGTCTGCAAACAATATCAGGAAATGCCAGAACATTACCTATGATTAAAGAATATACAGAAGACAATGATTCATTTTGTATGTGCGTTTCTGCAATCCCTGTGTAATAGTTATTTATGTTACAAGTGTTGAAAACGGTCCATTGCATTACGAACGGGAATACGGCGCGAGACGCAGTCGAGCGCTGTATGTAAGTGAGTAATGCAATGGAGTTTTCACACGAGTATCATACAATATTTTTTGCGCTGCCTTTTTGAAAAAATAACATTTTTCAATCGCTAAAAGAATAAATATTACTGAACCGAAATTATGTTGGTATTGAATTTATTACCAAATACGTCAAATACCAATCTGTCAATTTGTCCGGGCTAGCTTTTGAATTTCAAAGTTGAAATGGAAAATCGTGCACGTATTCAGAAAATTGCAGATAAAGCAACTGCAAATTTGTTGCCTGCAAAATCCGCAGGTCCATATGAAGCAGAATATCAAAAATTCATCAAGTGGTGCGAAGAAAATAAAATACGCGAATTTTCTGAAACGACGCTCTTGGTTTATTTCCAAATTAAGTCGGAAATTATGAAAGCCTCCACACTGTGGACAATATATTCAGTTCTGAAAAGTACTCTTTGCATCAAACATAACATAAATCATTCGAAATTTTATAAATTAACAGCGTTTTTAAAGCGGCAGAATGACACAAGCCCAAGAAGTCTGAAATACTTACCAGTGGAAACATTTTTATTTACGGCTCCAGATCAGAGAGAATCTTGTGATTATGATTCAGCGTGAGGTTGCGAATAACGTCAAGTTTAAACGGTTTTTTTAATTAACAAGAACTACTAACAAATAGTAATAACATAATAGTTGTCAACAACATAAACCAAACCATCGAATAGTGTCAACTGTCAAATTACTACAAATCCAAATTTTGATCAACAAATTCCCCTATTTAAGATTACAACTTAAATTGCGCTTTTTTAAAATTTCGAGCCACTTTTTGTTATAATAACTTTAGATACATGATTATCAATTAGTAGTAATTACTTTGTGATAATCAATTTATTTTTTCAAAGCTTAAATTCCTCGTTTGTATTTTGCGGCACTAGATCCTTTTTCATTGCCATTTCGACACGCCACGTGTCAACGTAAAATGTCAATTACAACTATGGCAGCGCAAAAATGTACTTATTTCTCATTTTTATATTTATTTTTTGTAGTTGCGTAAATTATTACCAATCAAAAGACAACACGTAGTAAGTGGTAGTAACACGCGTTTTGCAATGAGATGCTTTGAAAAAAAGTCCTCAAGTTGGTACCCGACCGTCTACTACAACGAAAACGGCTAAAATGACTTTTTTACTAAACGCATGTTATAATTAAACAGAATATTTTTATACTTTGAAAATATGCAATAAAGACACACATGAGATGTACAAAGGCTACAGAGCTAGATTTAAATTTAGAAGGGAGAAGAGGATTCTAAATTTTGTTTGTTACCCAGAAAACTATTAGTGGAAATTAGAATTGACTAAATTTACCGCTCACCTTTTTAACAACCTTCACCACCCACTACAAAATAAAACATGTGACATCAGCATCACTCGGATTATAATCCATGTTTCCACAAGGCGTTAAAAATCCACGCCAACGTCTACGTGACAATACATTGGAGACTCTCTCACATTTTTTATGCATGTCAAAACGTGTTTTTCAGTAAACATTATTTTACATTTTTCTTAAAATTGTGACAACTTTTTGGTGAGTGTAAAGAGGTCCTAACTATGTAACACTGACTGTGTCGTTGCTTTCTTTGCAAAATTTTAGAAAAAGTAGTCATTTCTGAGATAATCGGTAAAATAAAACTGTTTTTTCAAAATGTTGTCGTCAATTTTGTAGTGTAGTTAATGTTTTGTAACCTCTGAAGCAATGATAGTCTCTTATCAAACTTGTAGCTTTTTTGTTAAGCAAAATGAAATTAAATATTTTCGAAAACTGCTTATTAATGTCCTCTGATTTTTATTTAAGTAGTAGATACAAGTGATATTTTGTGCGTTAGTTTTGTGGTTTATTTGGAGGAAACTTGTTACTTTCCGAGTGTAAGCGAAGTAAGTAGGTAGGTCCCACCTGGTGAATGGCTCCTTTCATGTTTCATGGCCCCTAGAATATGAAAAATAGGTCTTCCGTTTCCGTCTGTCTGTCGTCTGTCATCTGTTTCGATTTTTTTTTACGATAGCCGCTATGTGTTTCCTCAAGTTTACTATAACAGAATAATTAGTAGAAATTTATGGTCATCCAGGTCTCCATACTTAAAAGTCGCGAGTTTCCGATTCGAAAATGGAAAATATATTTAACAACAAAACGTCAACAAGATTACAGAATATATAAGAACAAAAGAAATAAAGTTGAAACGTTAATAAAAGACGAAAAGGAGAATATTTGGATAGAATTCTGGACAAAATTAATGTAGTTTGCTACGAGAATAAGATAGTCTTCTTTTTAATGATGAGAAACGCTAGAAAAAGTCGAAATTATAGCAGATGAAGAGGAGATTTGAAGAGGCGGGGACGGTAGATTTACTGGGTCAATAATTATATAGGTAGGACAGAAAATGAAGAGCAGTGACAAGAAGAAAAAATAAGCCAAGAAGAAGAATGATAAAAGCTGGGGATGAACAAGCAACTAAAATGTTAGTATTAATAATAAAATGAATGAACATTAGGCGCAGCGTTAGACGACTTACAAATAGGAACAATAGTGCCAATTTTCCACTTCATAAGAAATGAGAAACAAGAAACTGCAAGAATTACAAAACTGAACGCCAGAATAATGGTAAAAAGCTGAGAAAAACTTTAGAAAATTCACTATTTGGTTTTAGGCCAAACAGAGGAGTAATAGATGGCATCTTCATAAGAAGACAGATCAACGAAAATGCCCTAAAGAAGGCTGGAGAATTACATCTATGTTCATAGACCTGGAAAAGGCATTTTATAGAAGAGGCAGAGGAATTGACGAAAGAACAATGAAAGGAAAGATTACTGAAGCCACCAGATCTTGAAATAGCAATAGCAACACTACAAACTTTTGGGACTTAGTAAGTCGAAATATGCCATTAATTATTATTGTATCAAATTCTTGAACCTGATATCACTAAATTTTTGGAATCCAAGCCATGTCTGATTAAAATAAAAAATTAATCTTTTTAAGAAAGCACTTTGTTCTTTTGATGAGTATTTAAATAGTTATTTACGCAACTAGTTCGGGATAGCCTGCTTCCCGCATGGACGCTTGTTTGAGGCACGACCGAAGGGAGTGCCGCATTTGCGTGAATGCGGGAAGCAGGCTCACGAACGTGTTGTGTATAATATTTTTTGCGACGAATAAACCTTTAAACTGAAGAGATTAACTGTGAGTTATTTATAAACAACGCCATTGACAGCGCCGTCAACACGTCACAATGTTGACACTACCCGAGTATTTTAAGGTTACCATGGCAACGGGAAGTTAAATGCACGTGTGCGGGAAGTTCGACCTCCCGCACTCTGGTGAATGCGCGAAAGCTATTAAAAAAGGTCATGAGTGCAAAAAAATAATTTTGACGATCCGGTGTAACAGATTTTTTTTGTTTTTTGTTTGTTTTCTCGAGCTAAATATTTACTCCTGAAGCTTTTAATTTTCGTTTTTTGTAGCCTACGCTATATTTAAGGATTTTTAATTTTATATTTGTGTTTTTAGGCTTGTATATTGTATGTTGGCAGAAATCCGTTACATTATTATTATATTAGTGTCAAACTGCCACAAAAAAACAGTGGCAAAGAAAAAAAAGAATAACGTTGACTAAAAATTTTGCGGTCAACATTTGGATACCTGAACGTCCCAATATCGTAAAAACGTGTGAAGTTCGCGCACTCGCAGCATGTGATTCACGCGGCAACCTCTCCCACTTGACACGTTCCTGCAAGCGATAGAAGTCGGTTCCGTGAAACGCCAAAACGCATGTGTGAAAATGCAAATTTAAAAATAAATTCGCGCGCTTCGAATTTGTCGGGCGAAACCTCGTGCGCTCTTTCCGATAACGACTAGTTGGTCCTCTTTGTGCGTGGTGTTAGCGTTGATTCCAATCCTGACAGCTGTCTCGGAAGTGTTGCATCAGCATGGAAGCGGCTAGCGGCGTAGCGGTCCTTGAAGATGAGGTTTTCCACAACGAGACCAAGGCTCTGTGGGTCTTCGCCTACGGATCCTTGTGCTGGAAGCCCGGCTTCCAGTTCCACAAAGCCGTCACGGGGTACGTCCAGGGGTTCCACCGGAGGTTCTGGCAGGGAAACACGACGCACAGAGGCACCGAAGACAAGGTAATTTCTCTTTTCGAAATTTGGGAGGCTGTGCGCTTTGACTAATCAGACAAAGGGTGATAAGAATTTTGCGCGTACTATTTTGAGCGCCTTTTTGCTCTAGGTCAGTAAACTCGCGGTTTTCTCGTACAACCTTCGTTTGTTGGAATTTTTATTTTTGTCTCTAGTGCGTAAGCCAAGTGTGTTAATAAATTCATTGTTTTTCAGCCTGGGAGGGTTGCCACTCTCGTCGAAAGCTCAAAGGTAAGTTGTCGCAATTATGCTCATTATCACCATGTGAATTACTTAAGTGCGCTCGAAATTTGATTAGCACTGGTTTTATACTTTTGTAATTTGGTCCCGTTGCACGAAAGAGAATGGATAATTATTTACGGTTTCTTAAAGTATTGATATCTGATTCTTGACATTTACGACTATGTAATTAAAGAACACTTGTGTGGCGGTGAACCACTTCCGGTACTACCTGCCTAGAGGGTTATCTACAAATTGTGATTGCTGTCTAGATTCAGTGTCTAGAAGCGTTATCGGATTATATTTATGTAAAAGTAAATAAACACATTTCTGGGACAAGATAAAAACGATTAAGTACTTACTATATGCATTGGTTGTAATGAGTCAGCTCATAAAAAAAAATAAAGAAAAACCGAAATTTTTGTTGATTAATCGATACAAATACGTAACTGATTTAGCCATTTTAGGTTTCCATAGATAATGACAATGTGGTTGGCGAAATACGTAGATAATTTTTTGTGTTTCTTTGTGTTTGTGGGGCAATAAATTTTGTAGAAAAAGCACAAACAAGAATAATTATAATTTAATTATAAAAGGTATGTCTGAAGTTTTACCATAGAAAATTGGGACAATTAAGAAATAAAGATAATCGCAAGTTAGTAGACCTACTCTGGATTGTATCTATATAAGCAGTAAGAACAACTGTGCAAACCGAAATTTTCCACTTGGTTCTTGTGTAAAATGAATTCGTTTTAGAAATTTTTGCATTTAATTTTAATTTTTTTTCTTGTAATAAGAGGTCCAATTTTAAATTACATGACTATACCTTGAACGCCCCATGCCTGTTTTATCGCTATGACGTCATTCGGGTTCAAAATCTAATTATTTCGAGAACCGTTTGTTAAAAACACACGATTTCAAATTGCTCCGTAGGTTTATTAAATGTATAACATAAAAATTCCAATGTCTGTCTTTATAGCAAATGTAGCAATAAGAGGCGTAGACGATATTAAAATCCGGTGATAAAAAAACCGTGTAAATAGGTCAAGTTTTGCAACTTCATTGTCTGTCATGAACAATATATTTCAATTGTCAAAAAGCAGATGTTTTAGATTACAGTCTTACTTTTATTTTTAATAACAGACTAAAAATTAGGACTTATCAATATGTCGATGGCATGGATGATAGTTGATAATTTACATCAATTTTTGTTTTGTTTTTTGTACTTGACTCACTTGTAAAATACTTGATATGTACGATTCGAATTTGCTTTCTACACTGACATTGAGACATTGACCTAATTACTTGAAAATAGATTCCCATATATTAGTAGGGAATTTTTGTTCCGTCTTGATGTGTTGTATACAAAACATTCCAGCTCTTTTAGAATCGTTTTATATCGTCTATACCGTGAGCCTGTACACACTATCTATTTTTTTTAACAATCTGGCAAGTCATCGTAGAACCAGGAAACTGCAGCTAGTTCCAAGAATCGTTTATTTATTTTCCTTTCGCGTGTTTTTGACGAAAGTCAATTGGATTCGATGCAGAGGTCATTATTATCCACTTATTTGTTAAAGTGTTCTCAGAATCCATCTCAGAGGAACTATTTTAAATCCCATAATAATATCCACAAAAGCATTTTTTGGCAAAACGTAAATTGCTCTTGTTACATTGTCTCTTATCGTTAATAATGATGTTAACAACCAACTTTAATTGTCGTGCTCTTCAACTGAATGATAATCAGGGATAAATTATCAATTTGTGTGGTATTTGATAATGATAACGTAACTGTCGAAACTAGATTATGGTGTTAACCCTTATCATTGTAGCAACACTTTTTAAGAAATAAAAGTTAACCTTGTAATAATGTCTGCTGACGTTAGTTATAATTTTTTTTTAAGTTCTGCGATAACAATTCAGTGTATGAATAATCTGAGAATATTTCAATCATGTGTTGAGACCGTGCAATGATCGTTCTCCACCACGAACAATAAATCCTACCGTAGACAGACTGTTGAGCCAATTTCTTCGTTTTATTTAGATTAAGTGGCGCAAAATTGAGGCTATAGAGATAATAATAGAGAAGCAGTACAAAAGGGGACATTTTTACGGCGCCCTCTGGCATAAATTTTGCACAAAGAAACTCTGAACGAGTTATTTTTAACTTGAACCTTCTAAAATAAGCTCGTAAGCCCAAATCTTCTCAAGGTCAAAGGCTACGAAACCTTACCGAAAAGACGCCAACCTAATTTGGGTCAAATATTCGAAATTTGAAAGTCTGCTCTGACGTGAATTTCAAATAACGAGAAAGTTCATTGGGAGGTTTTACTAGCGTCTCACGATCCACGCGGCTGATACTTTTAAAATAAAATTTGGCAAGCGCACAAAAATGTCTTTTTATAACACAGCGTCAATTGCCCATTCAATTATCATAACTAGTTAAGAAAAATTAATGATTTTTAGTATTGCAGGGTTTGGTGTATGGAGTTGCTTTCGCTATAAGTGGGGAAGCTGCTATTCCTTATTTGTCGAAGCGTGAATGTGAGTTGGGTGGATATACAACGGTTTTCACGACATTCTACCCCGTTAGTGGAGACCCGTTCAAAGTTTTGTTGTATGTTGCAACTCCGAAGAACCCTTTGTGGATGGGGGACGCCAAGATTGTAGACATCGCCGAACAGATAGTGGACTGTCGGGGGCCTAGTGGGTACAACGTAGAGTATGTTTTAAGACTGGCGAATTTCATGAAACACCATTTCCCAGAGTGCGAAGACAACCATTTGTATAGTTTGGAGGAAGAAGTTCTAAGAAGGGTAAAAGATAAGAAAATGTGCCTTAGAACTCTTATGGGTGACGGTGAGGGATGTGTAACTTTTGTTAAAGAGGAACGACGACGATCCACGGATAGTACTGATGATAATCAAGAACGTATAGAAACGTTCCAACACACGACGAGAGTCCCCGAAAAAACTCTACGTTGTTTGAATATTTAAGTATTTATTTATTTATTATCAGTCGTAGAGACTGTATTAACTCGTTAACAGTACTACCGTGTAGTACTACAATTTTTTGTTTAGATTTGATGTGATGTATATTTTATTTTTGCATTTACCTACTCGTTATTTTTGATACAAGACTTGTGCTGCTACCAAGAGATTCTAAGATATATTTATATTTTTTTGTATTGGCCCAACTGTGATTTTATAATTAACCGATTAAAGTGTATTTAATATGTAGCTATTCAAATTTAATTACCCGATCGACCTTTCTTTGGAAGGACATATCAATAAACTTCGACGGTTGTGTAAATATTTGTACCTTCCGTTTTAAACTCGTCAGTACAGAACAACATATGCAGGCATGAGTACGTCGCAAAGGTCGTCAACCTTTGATAAGAGAAATTTGAGAACAAGGTCTTTTGATATTTCTTAACAATTTCTGATTCTGTTAGATTAATAAGAATAGGTGTATAAATAATATATTCTACACAGGAATTATGTATTAAAAATAAAAACATAAAAATTTATTTCATAGTTCGCAAACATTAAAATCTTCAAATCTCGCCAAAGTGATAGGTACTTGCTTAAGTCTTTTGTTTATTGGTAGCGAACATTAGCCCTTTGCGACCCGTAATTTGGGTATGTTCTTGGCCCTTCATAATTTTGGGCAACACGCTGCACATTATTTACAGGTGGTGAAACTTGAGGTGGTTCTGAATAGAGCCCTTGGAAGATAATATTTCTCGATTCTTTATGGTAAATAAAGAAGAGGAATGGTTGATCTGCTGTTATCTTCTGTGCTGTTGAACCAATTAAAGGTACAACAACAGCAGTAGTAACCGCAGCAGCTTTGGTACCCAGCTCATTTACTTCTATTTTCGTTTTATGGATGACGTTATTGATCTTGAGATTGTTTGTACCAGTTATTCCACTCAAATTCGCTTGAGATGAGAAAACTTCTTGGATTTTGAGCTAAAATTAAAAAAATAGAACCAAAAATGTAGACAGTTGTGTACTTACAGGTTTTAAGAATTCAACTAAATCGATTTGATAGTCGATTTCGAATTTAGGAATTTCTAGGATTAATTCAGTCGGTTTAAGTGCATCGATCACCATATGGAGCTGAGCATGTTGCATGTCTTTTCCCAAAGTTCTTACATTGTTTCCATTAGTTGGCAGCAAGATTAGCATAGCGTATTTGTCGTCCTACAATAAAAAGTTTGAGCTAATTTCAGCTACATCTAAGTAGAATTGTTACCTCGTAAGGAAGTTCTATGGCATGTGCGTTAAGATCGATGTTAAAATTGTAATTGAAAGAGTGGCTAAGTTGCATCATGGAGACATTTACGCATTGTCGTGTTGGAGAATTGAAACATTGGTCTTTGGTACTGTTTGGATCGAATTCGGTACGCCATTTTCCCTTGAAGTACAAAGCGTTGGCTAACACCATCGCAGTTTCAGGGTAAAGACCTAAAATGCTTCTTGTAGGTATCGTTATTTTTCTATTTTTTACTTACTGCTTCCTAATATATTATTTATCAACCCATGAGTTGCCCTCGAAGCCCAAGAATTGATAGTTTTAGCTGCTAGGTTCGTATTTGTAAAATCTACCTTCGTGAGATCTGCCTTATAGTATCTTTTCACCTTTTTCTCATACTCGGAGAGTACTTCGTACTTATCCGAAATGAAAATGGAGTTAGCAGACTCCAAAACAGTACTAGTAGTGTTGTCCTGAAAGAAATGATTACTTTTGAACTGATATAATATTATAAAAGTTACACTTAAGTCGAAAAGCAGTCTTTCTAAAATTTCACGTATCTCTCTTTGATCGATGTTGTTTATCCTTAACGCATTTCCAATTTCTGCAGCGCTTTTGCCTTTGGCCCCTTCTAAAATTAAGGCTAACGTGGTTTTGATACTAGCAGGAGATATGAATACGTTTCCAGGAAATTCACTAAATTCCTGCAATTAACATAATTAACGTTATAAGGTTACCAAGAAAAAAGTAGTACTTTTATTAGTTCCAAGTCGAAATAATTGAACCGTCTCATTATTGCATCTCTTTCAGGATTTTCGGGTTGTAGATTTGGAGCAGTGGATAACGGGTACGGTTGAACGGCTAAAATAAAAAGAAGCTACTAACAATTTGGCAAAAAAACTACGACAGAAGCAGTTAGATAAATTGAAAAATAACCATCCCATCAAAACAATAAGCAAAATCATTGTTGACAGCTGTGCTAATTAAATATTTTACAGCAATTAATGATTACATCTAAATAAATTAGTTTCAAGGATTCCGAAAAAATCTATAAATTCCTAACAAAAGAGCGGAAGTATTTTAAAGTTATTAGCGTTTACTGAGCGAAAAAAAGAAAATTAAATACCTGCTAGAAAAATCAACAAGAGAGCAAACGTGATGTAACTCGTAATGGAACCCATGTCAACGGTGTTTGTTTTTTCACTAGTTAAACGTTGTGATTAATGAACGAAATTTTACTATGGAGTGCATTTGTAAGAAGAATAACTTGTTTGTAATCAACAGTCAAACTGGTAGCCACAATCCGTATGAAGCCGCAATCATAATGCGACCTTGGAAATCCCCGTGTTAGTCCACGAACAAGTTGTGAACGTCATTCTGTATTCCCCATGATAATCATTCTACCCATCAAAAACTCCTAATTTGTTACAAAAACAATCATCTCCACTTCTGCCCTTCTCACCAACGCAAAAGATCCGATCCCCGCATTTGCATACTGCGGTTAGTTTCTCTTGATCGTGATGCAAGAGTAATTCCATTAATCGATTATACTTCATTATACAAGAACCCCGAATTATGTTCTAGTTGTTGTAATCCTTCACCAGTCTAAATATAGGACAAGGATAAGAAGCAATTATATTAGGCACTACTTTTTATTCTGTTACTAGGAAGTCTACAGAATATGTACATTACAGTGTTTACCTGTATGTTACGGAGTTTACTGTATAAGCAAAAAAGGGGTTAGTTTAAGTTATTTGTTGCTGTTCTATTATGGTGGCGGTTGCGAAAAGATGACCTTCCCCGGACCCTTTTTCTCTTACCTTGATTGGTACCAAAACGTGACGGTAAAGGCATAGCATTGGAGTCTAAAGGATTTTCCACTTTACCCACAAACAAGATGGTGCCGGTGGTTTGTTCCTCCAAAAAGAACATAAAGGGGTGCGTAGCATTAAAAACATAGTCGACTTCCCCAAATTTGTTTCCTACTTGTACTTCTACCAAAAAAACGTAAATATTTTCAAAAATTTTTGATAACACTCACCTGTTGCAGCATACACCACACTGCCTTCTTCATCGAGTTCAATTCCCGTTTTCTGAACGATATCAGAAACCACAAGCATTCGAAGCATATGAGGAAGACCGCGTGCTATGCCTGGAAAACTAGCAGTATTTTGGAACATTTGTTTCAAACCGAACTAAAAAATGAAACTCATTACTATATAATTTCAAATAAGAAAACTCACATCTTGCAACGTTTTCATAAATCTGGCTTGGAAGTTGAATTTGAATTTTGGCAAACATACCCTCACCGGCACTTTGTCCATTAAATACAGCTGTTTCTTTAGAACATGTAAATTTATTTTTTTGATCAAATCTGGAAGACCTGCTTTTGAGTTGGGTAATACAATAAAGAACGCGTAGTTTTGTCCCTACAAACAATCGAACTACAATGACATTTGTGCAACTGAAAGTAGTACCTTGTATGGCAATCTTAGAAGTTTGGCATCAAGTTCATTAGATTCAAAATAGTAAAAGGTGTCAGTCGTTTTCATGTATGAAGCTTCTACTATTTCAGTGGGTGAAACGTAGAAACCACCAGGAGTGGTATTCTCTTTTGGAAACTGATGTCGCCAAGTACCCTTGAAATAAATGGCGTTGGCCAGGATCATAATTGCATCTTGGAGATCACCTAAAAGAAAAAAAATTACACCGGATTATGGGATTTCTAAGAAGTACCTGGCGATATCATATGCGAAACTTTTCCATTCGTCAATTTTTCAATCCAAGAATTGATAGTTCGACTAGCTTCAAGTGGTTGAGAGTAATTAGTGTGTTCTATGTCAGTTCGGTAGCTATGTAAAGCTTTCGCAGCGAAGTTCTGCTTCGGTTCTACTCGAGAATCTAAGAATATTCGCGTACCTAAGTTTAAAATATATTGGCTGCGTTCGCTTGGCTGAAATATTGCACCTATTTAATCTTGAATTAACAATTAATGTTAGTACCTGTAGTGCGCTCAGCACCCTTTCGAAATTGTCTCGTATGTTTTTTTTGTCAATAGGGAATTGTAAAACATTTTGAAACTCTTTCTCAGTAAGACCCCCAGAGCCTTCGTACAAAAGAGCTAAGACGAGTTTTAGACCTATAGGCGATATCAAGACATTTCGGTTGTTGGGTGTGGAATATGCCTGAAATCATTTATAAGTCGTTATTTTTGACTTAGTGATGATGTTAAATGTAAAAACCTGTTTCATACTTAATCAATATTAGACAGAATAAAACAAAATATCACCTAAGAGGTAATTACTTTAAACGTTATAATTGGGTATAGCAGTCATTTTTTTCTAGTTTTTTTTTTGATCTAGTTTTGCAAATAAGTGTCACTGACCTAAAATCATACGAACCACAGTTACCGTGTCTCCCCTAACACAGCACAAATGTGGGGAAAATACTGTTATAGACTGTTTATGAATTGCGCTAATAAAGGGAAATCCGTTTGGTCACTTCTATATTTAAATAACGGGTTTTAATTTGATTGTCCGAAGTTGTTTATGTAATTTCATCGAAGTATGAAATTACTTTTTACTCCGCTTTCTATGAAATTATCAACAAAATTATCAACAATTAGATGACTCTCTATAAACTCTTGCCATAAGGTTTTGTTTAGTAGTAAACAGTGTTATCATTTTATTTTATACTACTGTGGAGGTTACATCCACATAAAATATATCTATTGTAGTGGTAAAATGACATATTCACCTACGACAAGTGTAACAGTTCTTTGTTATACGAACTCTTAAAATAAATTTATCATATGACACAGAATAATCTCGTTATTAAATGAAATTAATAGCTATACAAATTGAATTAAATTATAACCTACTTAGAAAATGAAATGATCTTTTTAGAATGTTTTCAAAATATTTAAACGAACTAGAATGATAAACTAAGAAAGTTTATCTCATTGCGACCCGTTTTAAAACTCTAATAAAGTAATAAAGTGTCATCTTTAATCACATCTGCCACATTTTGGGAACTGTGAACCCTGAGTTTATGGAGTTTGTTTGGAATATTAAACAAAAACGTGTTCATAATTGATTCTCGTATCAAGGGCGGCTTTAAAATGTCAAAAAATGTGACTCACTGTAGTAATAAGGCGGAAAAATAATTAACAAAAGACATTCCAAAGCCACCCTTGACACCAGAATTATAGTAAGTTAATAATAATAATAATAATAATACAAACATTAATTGAAGTGTGATCTGTGTAATACAACATGTTATGGAAAAATTAAACCACGCAAAAACAAACTTGCGTCATATATTATGAACAGTTTTCCGTGAAATGTTTGTATTTTAAATAAAAATTTGTCTAGTAGACTATATTATAATTTTTCTTCTAGAAATCGTTGGTTTGTGAACTAAATATACTATTTATATTTCTCCGCGTTCAGACTAAATAAAAACATTACATGTAGCAAAAAGTATGTTCCTAATTTGGGATCAATAACATTGTAATTATAATAATTATTTGAATTAATTTCAATTTTCTGGTTGACACTAATAATAAAAAGTTTTGTCATTTTTATTGTAGATTTTAAAACAACTGATTTTAAAATGTGGTTGCCTTGTATTTCGCAGTCTCTTCTGGAAACACCCAACAATAAAACAATTTGTCATCGTTAAGTTTACTCTTTTCGTTTTGCCATACCCAATATTTGTTACTCTCGTGATAACTTATCGTTCATTCAAGGACACTCACTTTTACTTTTGCCGGGTTTTTTCAAAAAACATAAAATACCTTAAGAAGTTTCCAGTCGAAAGTATCTGACCATTCAACGGCAGGAAAATAAGCATCTGCTTCTTCGCTGGATAAAGAATCAGCAGAAAGTGAAGATACACATAGTACTCCTACAAAACACCTACGTCAAAAAAAGAACTTTTGTCTTCCTGAAGATCAAAGATCATCACGCGAATAACATGCAAATTAAAATAAGCGCTGTTGCACAACGTTTTTAAAATTACTCGTAAAGCTGCATTTGCATATTTCTGCGTTTTCTTTGTCGCGTAATAGTTACAAATTAAAATTCAACAGTCACGACTTACTAAAGCAAAAGTAAAACTTACCGATGAAGAAATATAGAAACATTTCTGAAGTAAATCACAGTTGTTGCAGGAACGTTGTGAGATGAGCTGACCCTGTCTTAAGATTGTTGATATTTGTTTGGATTTGAGATAGTGGGTATTCCTACTGAAGTTAAAATAGAAACTAATTTTTTTTCAACACGCAGATAATTGCAAACCGGACGACAACATTCCTGTTGTATTTATGTATTAAACTGGCGATTTTGATTGTGACAGATCAAATACAAAGCTATAGGCACAAAGAGGCAAAGAGGTGAACTGTGTGTTTCGCGATGGCCAGAGGTAGACGTCATAGGAAAGCCCTGACCTTCATAATCTTCTCATCAAAAGGTGAACTACTCTTTATTAAATTGTTTAGGCAACCATTTGTACTTTTATTAAGACAAAATTAAAACATCTGCAACATTGTGAATGTTTTTCAAAATTTGGGTGTCTTCTGACTTTTGTATTTCCATTTCAGTAAATTCTTTCTCTTTCTATCCGCAATGTTGTCGCTTCTACTTTGGACTTTTGCTTTCCTAACGTCATGCTTTTATGGTCATTTTTTTGTTCGCTTCGTATCTTGATCACCGATACAAGTTTTTCGTTTTAAAAGTAAAAACATTTAATGCTCGGTTAAATTGTGTTTTAGAAACTTTTAAAATAGTTAACCCCGCTACTGAATAAGTTTAACTTTAAAATAAAGAAAATATATTATGCCAAATACACTAAAAAACTGCTAAGAAACTGAGGTGTCAAATTAATAATTCATAAGTTGTTAATGAATTGTTGGAGTGAAAACAACATAATAATAGTACAAGTCAGTTCAGTTAGTTTTATCAATGATAAGAATTTTTGGACGATCTCTAAAAAGACGCAAAATTACGCAGCAATATTCCTCATAACGTATTAATTTTTTTTAATTATGTCCATATTACAAAACAATAAAAAGCAAACGAATAGTGCTTTTATTCACTGTAACATTTGAAATTGATAAAAATAATGATTAATAGTTGCAGTTAACTTGTTTATTCATTTATTTTAATTTATTATAATATATACATTATTATAATTTAGTGTCTGTTAGGTTGCAATAAAATGCATCAAACTGTAGTAAAACTTCGAAAATTCCTATTCGTTTAGCCCTGTCGGGTGCGCGGACATCTAGCTAAAAATCATGACAATACTATTTTCCAATTGGCTGCTGGTAACCGGATTTACACGGCACCACTTTAAATCCGAAAGGTGGTTGACAAAAATACCAAGACGTAGTGGTAAAAATCAGTGAGTGCTGGTAAATTTTAGTGACGAAGTAGTAGCTGGCTGTATGTGTAAGCTCAACTGTGTATTTTCCCGACGATTTTGCTTTCCTAAAACTCGTCTGTGTAATTTGGATGCAGAATATGCATACCTTAAAATCTTTAAGACATAACAATAATACAGTTTTCATTAAAAAGGTATAGTAGCGGAAATCTAGAGTGGCATACTTAGCTTTAAAGGCAGCAATAAGGACTATAATAAAAGTGTGAACTTCTGTCAAATAATGTTTATTAACATTCTATTCATGAGCACTGATTAAATACATATGCATTTAATCAACGTTATGAATAAACATCTGTACGGGAGCAAAATGAATGCGTCGGTATTTTCTAGTTGGACCTACTTTCAAATGATGCATCGCTTGACTCAACTTTACCCGTTCCTGTGCAGGTGTTTATTCGTAAATATATATATAGAAAAAGATTGTACTTTTATGGTCAGGTGTCATAATTTTCCGCTGCTGTAACAACAGGTAACATTTAAAACTTCAACGTTTCCAAATATCAGATTCGTCATTGAGTAGATGTACCAGAACGGCGCATCTTTTCTAACTAATGTAATGACCGCATCATCACTTGCATTAACAGAATTCTACATTCTATTACACTGTATTGTTTTTATAATATAACAGTCCAGTTCTAGAGATTTAAATATTTTACGCACTCACCAGGATGCGAGAGGTCGAATTTTTCGCACGCGTGCTTTTTACTTTCCGTTCATTACAAGTGTTCATGCGGGAAGCTTTTTTTTGCACTCATGACCTTTTTTGATAGCTTTCGCGCATTCACCAGAGTGCGGGAGGTCGAACTTCCCGCACACGTGCATTTAACTTCCCGTTACCATGGTAACCTTAAAATACTCGGGTAGTGTCAACATTGTGACGTGTTGACGGCGCTGTCAATGGCGTTGTTTATAAATAACTCACAGTTAATCTCTTCAGTTTAAAGGTTTATTCGTCGCAAAAAATATTGTACACAACACGTTCGTGAGCCTGCTTCCCGCATTCACGCAAATGCGGCACTCCCTTCGGTCGTGCCTCAAACAAGCGTTCATGCGGGAAGCAGGCTATCCCGAACTAGTTGCGTAAATTACTATTCCCGAACTAGTTGTGTAAATTACTAATTCCGATCGTTCGCGCCAGGCATCAAATTATAGTAACAAAACAATAATCGAGTTACCGCAATAAACAATTTACATAACGTATACCTGATTATTTGTTGTTATTTAATGTCATTTTTTATGGGAAACATGAAAAATTGTTGTTCTTAAATGAATCAATACTTGCGAATATTATAAACGTGTTTAAAAGTGAAACGGAGTATTGTGTGTTGCCTACTCTCCAATGTAACTATTATATTAGTTTCAAACCATTTTCGTACAGTAACTACAATGTATTAGTTAAAAATGCAAAAATAAACCATGTGAAAATTTTGAATCCACATCTAAATCACAGAATTCTAAATAAATTCTAGTTTATATCGAGACTCGGGTGGTTGCACGAAGTCAACATTAGTTATTTGACATAACCCCAGAGCCTGTGACATAACCCTTTTCGATGAAATTTCTAACTGTGTTTAGTGTTAAATATTAAAGTTATTTAGTTTTAAATGAGTTACATGATAAAAAACACGAATAACGTTTCCTAATTGTGCGAACAAATACATATAAAATGTAATTCCATTCAATATTGACTCTTCATGTAGTGTACATATACTTGTATGGTTGTTTTTAATTTTTGATGATACAGCACGAACAACTGATTGAATGCAAGATAAATATGGATAAAACTATTTTATGACATAGACATAACTTGTAAATATGACCACAATTCATTGGCAAATCCAAAGATTACCCAAATCACTTTAGTAAGTTTGTTTAGAATAAATAACACGTTTTACTACTTAAGTTTTAGTTATTTATTTAAGTCATTTTTCCAAAAATGTCGCATAACATTCCGTTCCTTAACTTACAACCATTTTATGGATCAAAGCTATGCAGCAGATGTATGTATGGAACCCATGTTTTGGTTTGTCGACAATTTCACTTATGCAATAGGACCAGTAAGTTATTGATATAAGATGACAACATTTTATTGTCTTTTAGTTATTTGTTGTTGCTGTAATAGGGCTGACCAGTTCAGTAGTGTTTATTGCATATTGGATAGGTCTTCCATATTGGTGGCAGCGTAATCCTTACCTATGTGTTATTCTAGTCATTATAGGACACTGGTTGCTCCTTAATATATCGTTCCACTATTACATGGCTGTTATCACACCACCTGGTTACCCTCCTCAGGTTTGTATCACTTCTTCACTTCTCGTTATTATAGATGTTTTGTAGGGAGAACTCATTACTGAAGCTGTTAGTATATGTAAGAAATGTATTGCACCAAAACCTCCAAGGACACACCATTGCTCAGTTTGTAACAGATGTATTCTAAAAATGGATCACCATTGTCGTATCCTTTCACCATTGTACTTTTATAGTTATTACAAATAAACAGTATTTTAAATTAGACTATTGTTCCTTAACAATAATAGCGTGGTTGAACAACTGCGTTGGGTATAAGAACCATCGATATTTTTTTATGTATATGGTATATATGGTTTTGGGAGTCCTTTTTGTGATAATTTGTGGTGTTGATATTGCTTATTCAGCTATAATGTTAACAGGGGATGATCCAGATGAACCTGAATTGGAAGGCCATCCAGTGAAATTTAATAAGACTGGTGCTCTTATTCCAGTGGTAATGTAAAAATGTATGATATTTTTAAATGTATTTATTTTATCCTTGATAGACTGATGTACTTTACATTGATACTCCTGTAGTGGTTGACGAATTTAGCGAGAATTACGAACCAAATAATCCTTGGAGGAGAAGAGCTATTATTTACATGGCTCTAATCAATAGTGGTTTGTACTATATGTGTATTATATGACTTGTTCAACTATTCTGTAGTCAGTAATGTCCAGAGAACGGATTCTTGCGGGTACGGTGGCAAACCGTCAGTGCAGTGAGGCATCTGAACCTCGCGTCGGAGCATTGACCTTCAAGTGTCTAACAGACAATGTCAAAAAGGCTTAGTTTTTCCTTAAAATGCACACGTATACAAGCGTACTTACTTAAAGTGCAACTTAACAGGGATGACTTTGCGCGCCTTGAAGGTTACTCTCATGAGTCCGGTCTCTGCTAATGACACAAGTACTACACATTTAAATCCACCTTTGATAAGCAATTGGCCAGTATTTTTACCAAGAAAACTCGTTTGTTTTCAGGAGTGTTTGTTGCTCTTGGTGTGTTAGCAATTTGGCACAGTCGTTTGATAGGTAAAGGAGAAACGAGCATAGAAGGCAACATAAACAAAGCAGAAACTCAAAGATTGGCGGAAATCGGCAGAATTTACATAAACCCGTATAACTTTGGTACTAAAAAGAATTGGCGAATTTTCCTAGGTCTCGTTCAAGGAAGGTAATTATTTTGAATAAGTACTATATATTTAGAAAGTGGACACTGTTAGTTACTTTAATGCATATTCAATTTTAGAACTTTTCTCCAACATGTTCTGCTCCCTTCAGCCCATGAACCAGTAGGCGACGGCTTAACTTGGCACACCGTTCACGACGAAGACGTCGATGAATGGCCGTGATCTCTAGTCACTTCTCATTCTTCACAGTAATTGATATACGTTGAAGTACAACTTTATTCTTCTTTTATACAGTACTTTAAATTGTAAATTTTTCAAATACGTATGTATGTGAAATGATTAAAAAAAATAGAAAATTTGTAATTAATTCCGTGCTTCGTCTACCAAACGATTCTTTCGATCCAAGACACGAATGAAGACACTCTAGTGTAGATAGCGGGTGTATTGGCTTGTCCGCACGACTTTCCAAAGGATGTGATACCAATCACGTAGAACTCGCATTGATTGCCTTTCTTGGTGATAAGAAGAGGTCCTCCTGAGTCGCCCTGCGTGATTACGATTTTCAATAAAAGTCTCGACACAAAAACCAAACGTACCTGACACGTATCCATTCCTCCTTTGAGCTCCCCAGCACATATCATGTTAGACTTAATACCTTGCGGCAAATGCTTGTTCACTTGATAAGTTTGCGAACACCTGCTGTTGCTGTAGATGTTGAGCGACACCTTCATTAGTTTGTCACTAATTTCCGCGGCCGCGTAATCGGTTTTGCCCCATCCCGTGGCCACCGCTTGAGGCAGTTCCACTTGTGATTTAGTGTAAAGGCACGCAGGCCGAATAAATTTGGTGAACTTGACTCTTGGAGCTAACTGGATGAGAGCAATGTCGTAGTATTTCCTCGGGTATGTGTAATTATGATGAACGATGATATTTTTGACGCTGTAGTCCGCGTACTCCGTACCTTCATCTTCTCGAGACAAATCGAGTTCCCCCAGACGCACTACCGTCGGCGACTCCCTGAAATTGTTTTGATTGTACGAAGGTTCGAAAAATTGAAATTTTTACCTGTCGTGTGTAAAAGTGCAGTGGGCGGCCGTCAGAACGTATTCTTCGCTAATCAGCGTACCGCCACACCTCCACTCGACTTTATTATCGCTGTCGAAGCCAATGGCCGCCTGGGAACGAGACTTAATAGGAAGAAAAACAACTAATAATCATTTACCATAAACGGGAATTCCCCAGCAGAGGCAGGCTTGCCCCCGACTATTAACGCAACTCCGTTGTAGTCACACTTGGGAACATTTACGCTTACAACTTCAGTATGAGTTACCAAAGGAATAGCCTGGACTATGCCGCTAATGGCCTTACTATACTCCTGGCATTCTACAACAAAACGTATATAGGTATCTACCGAAAACAAAAACTTATTCGGGATACACACTCTGCTCGCTTTTACTCAAGCGCTGAGACACAACGGGTTCATTCTGGTGATGATCTGGATAAACAAAAGCGTCTGGATTATTTGGCTCTTCTTGACTTAAGAATGTGTTGGGATTTGGTTCTCTATGACCCGTACTGGGACGTCCAGGCCTGCGATGATCCGATGAATCAGGCCGACTGGGTAATAACCCGTCGTTGGGTTCTGCGAAAGGACTTGTTTCACAACACACTATGGGCACTGTTAGCTGATAGAAGCCACATATTGTGGGACTTATCCCGTTTTGGGCCTGCTCTTGCACCACAGGGCAGTCCGATGCGATCCGGCACACCCCTGCGACTCCGGTGACTTTCACCTGGCAGCTACTTCCAACTGAAAGTAGATTTTTTTGAAAAAAATCATAATTCGTTCTGATGGTTCACGTTTTAAAAGAAATTTAAATGTTGCGCAAGCTGGAAATATATCCGGATGTGCGTGTTTTTCAAGGATCAACCCCCAATGAGTCAACAAGAATGGTATATGTTTATTAACATAGGTAAGTTTTGTTCGTCGTAATAGGTATTTTGTTAAATGGTTTGGTATGTCATCACTGTAATACCGATGTTAATAAAAAAACGATTAATGTATCTACTACGATAATTTGAAGGAGCATTCGTGCAATGAAACGTGGAAATTAATAGTCCGTTTTTGGGGATTCGACTGCGAGTAGTTTTTTGGATAACGAGGATGATAATTTTTTGCTTTTAGATTGTTATGTTGATTGTTATTTAGGTATTTAGTGGAATAATAGTGTGGTTAATTGATTGTTGCTTATATGAAAAATGTAATTATGTTTTTGTGAGAAATTGTAACAAGTTTAAATCAACAAGCTATCCTTGAGAACGAACGAGGAACTTGCGATGTAAATCAAAAAGCGAAGTAATTTTTTCACTTACCTTGCGCAAACGCAGAACGGCAACAAATAATTAACAATATGAAACAGTCAAGTATCCGTTTTCTTGTCATTGTGAAGAACATCAAAACACTGACATCGTTATTCCGCTGGTTCAGAAACTATTCTGCGTCTTTTTCTTTCTTTTTAGTTATAAAGATGTATGTAAATAGCACTGGATTTACCAGAAGTCATTGGCGTCACTACAACACGTTTTATAAAACTCTTCAATTATTGTTTACCACAGGTGCACTAAAATAATGTCTCTACGAATTTTAGTTGATCACGGATTCGATTTTAGTTTCTCACCTATCTGGTTTACCGTGACACACGCTCGCATAAACAGCTGAATCCTTGACGGATCTTCGGCACTTAAAAACTCATAGAAATTCGACAATTACAATAATTATTTATTCCGCAAACTTGACTACACCACTGTCTCATTAATAAACTCAGGACGGTGTATCAGATTCTCGTTTTAATGTGATCTGATTCTGAAATCAAACCAACATTTTTAGAAAATCAATCATTCACTGAAAAACCCACAAAATAAGTATTTCACCTACACCCAACCCGCTTCCTTTAAAATTTATGCAAACGGAAACTTTAGACTTTCTACTAATTAGTCACTCTATCGTGTATTAATCGCTCTGCGGCTTACATCTTAATTAATATTTCCTATTCTTTATATCAACGTAATAAATATATTTTGCGGTTAGATAATCATTGTTCACGCTAATATGCTGAAACATTTCCCGGAAAAAATCCATCGACACGACGTAGGCGTCCTCCGTTCAAAATACCGCTACTTTCTAGTGACTTCTATTACTGTTTAAAAACCCCGCCTATTTCTAGTTACTTTGAACGATCACAGCAGTTGGCACTTCACCCGCCACGTTTAATTCCAAATCATCACCAACACTGGATTACTTTGACGTTTCTAACTTACAGCGTGAAAGTCGATCAGTACGTGGCGAACCCCAAACGTGAAAAAAACGAAAATTTTGACTGAACTCTTCTCCACAAACCCGTAGACAACCAACACGATGCCGAAATCACTCCTGGTCCTTGCTTATTTCGCCTTTTTTGCAGTGGTATGTCAGTGCTGCACTAACCCGCAAGTAACCTCAACTTCTTTCACAACACAAGACGCTACAATCGTTCTAAACATAGCCTACATTTCTGATTTCACCCTGAAATGTGCCAACGGCGAGCCCTCAGCCCTTTACGCCGAAGTGAACGGAAATATCGTTCCCGTTTCTATCGTGGACACCAATCGGTATCAGGTGAGTTTGCGATATGCCATATGTTCCTTCTTTCAACAACTATGAATGTAGGTTAGCTGGACCGAAGACACAAAGACTGCCTCAAGTGGAGACAAGCAAGTGCGCATTTTTGACGAGGATGGTTACGCCGCTGCTCGCAAGGCCCTGAGAGCTGGGGAAGATCTGTCATCGGTGCCTTCGGTTGCCGACCTTGTGGTCAACCACCCGGGAGCGTACAATGGACCATGGCTTAAAAGCGAACTTCTCGCGACTTTGGTTTCTTTAGTTGTAGCATATTTTGCCGTTTCGTTCAAACTTAAAGTCACTGCATAAGTTTGTTGTTGAGTGTTTGTTAGTTATTATTTATTACTCATTTCAGTGAAACGTGATTTCTTAAAGTAAGCAACCATTGTACAGAGATTCGCAGTTATGTTTTATACGAATTGATTTTTTTTCAATAAATGATTGGATACAATTTGTGTTTTGGAGGTTAGGTCATTGCTGAGCGCTGCTGTATGGTTGGTTGCATAATAGTAAACCGTGTGGACATTGAAATAGTTCATTATAGATTAAGTACACGTGAGCGCAGATGTCGAGAACAGAAGCTGGTTAATGATGTAGATAATTCACAAGTAGAAGAAATTTAACGGAATGGAAAAGTTTTCGGAAATATTAAAATTTGATGAATCGGTGATGCGAAAGTACGCTGCCAACTGTGATCAACTTTTTTTAATGAAAGTATTTTTTTGGTGAGTGGACTTTCAGGAATAAAAGGGTTGAGTGCAGCTTAGCTGTATTTTTTATGTAAAACTACAAACAGTAAAATCCGTTTCAAATTGACTCGTTTTATTACAAAAGTTTAAAAATTTAAACAATTTAGAAGCCTGGTGTGTGTGATATTTCAGCTGAATAGGACTTCCTATGAATGTAATTTCGTTCTTATGAATAATGAAATAAACATGCCAAACAACTGTCAAACGTTATACACATTGACATTAATCCCTGGTGTATAAAACGATTTTTTCAAAAATTGATAACCTGAACTGATTTTAAATTTATCAACCTCTAAACGATTTGAAATCTACATATATTGTCAGCTTTTTTTTTATTGTACACTTGGTGCAAAGAATTTGTTGTCGAATTCGGTAACTGTCAACAAATTGTAAAAAATTCGTATGTTTGCAATTCATTATTTTGATACTTATGATTTGACCAAAAATTATAAATAAGTTCTTATTGGAAATGGGAATTATACAACAATATACAGATATATACAGAGGATTGCTGTATTTTTATCAGCAATACTATCTTAATACCTTCTTTCATTATTGCACTAAAATATTTATTTATATATGGAAGAAAATCTCTGGCCAAGTAATATAACACATCACATCTCATAAATTCCAGGATTGTAACTAAGTTGATAATCAACGTGAATTAATAGTCTTCCTTTAACCTTATCAAAAGTATAGAATTTTAATTAGTTAATCAAGTCCCTATGACTTCAGTTAGTGAAACGTCATCGTATGTAAGCAAACGAAGTGTAGGTAATTATTAGAGTCAGAAATAACGTTATAATCTTGTCAATATTTGAAAAGTGGTTGGGAGCATAAAGCACCTAATATTTGAATATAACATAACTAACCGTTTCATGTTAAATTTGCTTGTTCAATGGATTTATTTTATTTGACAGTTCTGTTTGATCTTTTAATTTTCCTTTAAATCGCTATGAGTGCATAAAGTGCCAACTTTAAATTATTTTCAACCAAAGCTTTGCGTCAGTTTTGAAAATTCCAATTAATTTTTATCTTATATAAAACAAAAATTATATGATTGTATGTCTAAATTTGTTTTGAACGTTATTAATTATTCTATTAAAATTGCTTTGCTCTCTTTGGTAATGTGAAATGAAACAACTCTCATTTATTTTTGGAGTCATCTCGCATAAAAAATATTTACTTTTTTATGTCGTTGAAAAGAAAGGATGTAAACATCTCTCAAAACAGACATTAATATGCTGTAATTTTAAATTGCGAACAGGAAAGTAAATAGCGCCTTAATTAAAAACATCTGAAATGAGCAGAAATTGGCAGTTAAAAGGTCGAAACTATAGGATTTACAAGAGTCAAATTAAAAAATCGCATTATTACTCTTTTTGTAAGACTACAGAGGACAAATTTAAATTTACTTGTTTTGATTAAAACGTCGTTTTGTTGGAAGCAATTTCATTTTCGTTCAGTGTATTATTTTAGATGAGTAAATATTTGTCTCGTTCACTTTCAGTGAACATATGTATTCTCAGTTTTTTATTTTTCAGAGAATGTGAAAATTTTGGGCTAGTTGATATAAGTTGATACCATTACAGAGCTAGGTGAGTACTCGAGAACACTGACGAAAGGAGGCGGCAAAATATTTGTGGTTGTAGTAAAAACCTGAAAATAAAGTATACGGCACATTATAATAAATTATATCTAAAAGACAACGGATTTTATTATCAATGGTTATATTATGTTAAGAGTAGGTACCGAACGAACTGCTGTATTTTGTTCTATTATAGTTTCTATAAGCAGATGACTAATTTAGAAACAAAATCCTCAACTGTGGCTAAAGGAGCAGAAACATCCGATTATATCAAGTACTCTTCAGACATAGCAGTTTCATAAGATTTAGAAATGTACTGTAAATGGGCTAGTCGTACGCAAGGAATTTAAATTTTTTCTTAATAAGAGCATGTTGTAAGTTTTTAATGAATTTTGTTTTAGTGTCAAGATCATCTGTCTTTTTTGACATGGGCATGGCGTTTCCAGTTTACATCAAGGCACCGAAAAGTTAATTTTCCTGCAAGGTGTATGTTGTAACGATTTTTGTAGTAGAATAAGTTTGAGATTTCCGCAGTGGGAGTGCGAAACAGGCGCTTGTTTTGCTTGCGATATGCAAATGCTGGAGTGGTTAACCCCACAAGTGTGAAGGTAAATGCAAGTGGTTGTGCATCAGGTTCAGCTTCCAGCTCCAGTAGCATCCTTCCGAGTGGCGATCAAGGCCAACAGTATGATATGCATCACACTGACCTACATAGACGAGGGAGGAGCAGCTGAAAAACACTATCAACTACAATAAGTAATAAATCTGATCATGAGCGCAGACAGCGGCCCTGTTCTATTCAATGTCAGTGCAAGGTGAGCTGGTAGATGCGTTAGCCAGACCATGCGTGTTGTACTCGCACTTCTTGTTCACTAAACTTTTTATGAAAGCCCGTAAAAAACCGACGATGTGACTGGCATCCACTGATAACACAGGTACTTGACAATTATCTAATTGTTCCCAGAAACGAGAAACGGCGTTAAGGAGATCTCAAAAAACGTAAACACAACTGCAGGAAATTAGATGTAGGTCATACCCGGTAAACCCCTGCATAATTTTCTGCAATAAAACACAGTGGACACTTTCGGCCAAGGTCCAGTCCACGTAAACAGTTTATTCTATAAACGAATACCAAAAGGACTACTTGCCGAAATCTTGTTTTGAAAAACCACTCTTACGGAAAAATGTTCATTATAATGTGTGTGTTCTTAGCCAAAATAGTCTTCTCTGTGGGTTTATGTCTACTAATAGTGGTGCAAATTTTGATTTTAAGTTTCGACATTGTGTATATTTTGTGACCAAAAAAGTTCAAATATAACCGCAAATGAAACGAAGAATTTCATTTAGTATAAGTGTGATTATTTTGACACCGCCCGCTAAGAGTAGGGTGCTAAAATGGACTAAACGTAACGCTGATTAAATGAAATTGTCTAGAATCTTAGTATTAAATGTCAAAATTAGTCTAGTCAAGATGATAAATATGTTATTTTTGTGATTATTACTCATATCGTATCTACATACACAGTGCCCAGATAAAACTCCGCTGCTTTATATCTTGAAAATGGATAGAGATATTGACATTTTGTAAACGCAATTGTTGTTAGCTTGAAGTCGGAAGCTTAATTTAGTACCCGTCGCGACGCGGACACTAAGTTACTTTTTTGTTACTCAGTGTACTAGATTCTATACTAGACGAAATGCGATTTAATTTTATAGTAAATAACCTTGATTTTATTATAACCTGTATATTTATTGACATTGAGAATGTTTAAGATATAATAAAATATGGATGTTTGTACAACTTTATAAGGCCCTACAGATTTTGGTTGTTGTGTATCTTAGTAATGAATATAATACAGGACTTGTGTAGTTAGTTGAAAAATAAGACAACACTCGCGCTAGAGTTTAAATATTAGATAAGTATATCGAAAATAGGGTCTGTAACTCTCCAAACTTATAAATTTTTTATTTTCCTGCAAAACACACCGCAATCCTTTTCGCAATTAACTCCAATACCGCTTGTGTTCTTTCATCCTATGCGTATTTTACAATCCCCTGTTATCACGTTTTGCAGGAAATTGCAACGTCTTTCTTGATCGTAATGCGTTTATGATACATACAGCTACATATGTATTACATAACATCACATAGTATGACAAGAAAGTTCTTAGGTAAAATATATGGGTGTTACTTAAATATTTTATAATTTGTTATAGTGAGCAAGAGAAGCGAGCTGCGTTTATCGTCATTACGGTAGACAATTCAATTAAATTCGGTTTTGGTTGCGGAGGCCGTGTGAGTTGTATATTACGTCAGAAATAACGAGTATAATTAAAATCTGCAATCGCATGCTGTATGTAATGGGAAGAAAAAACATAAGTCAAGAGTTTTTGCCTAATTATCAAACGTCAAATCTGTGTATCTAACACTAGTACTTGAGAGATGGCGCTTATGTTATCTCTTCACAACAGGTGATGTACCGTTGTGATATAACTAGTTGGTTAACTTCATGCCGTATTATGGAATTGTTTACACTTCAATCAAAACGATACAAGTTTTTGTTCGTTTGACTTTCAGTTACGAGACATAAAAATGCAGGTTGTTATTATTGTTACCAATTGGCAGATTTATATTAATCACAAGTAAGCATTTAGACGTTCTGTGTGTCTGTACATTTCCAATGTACTACGTAATTACGAATTGGTGTCGTATTCATAAATCAAAAAGTAGAACACTCATATTTATTTTATTTATTTTTTTGTTGACTAGGTGCCTATGAAATTCTTGCAACGAATTTCAAATGACTTTTTCTTTTAAACCCATTTTGTTTTTGGTGATTTGGAACAGTTCCATTCCATTACTCTTTTCGGACACAGGCGGTTTTTTAACCTATTAGTTTGACGTCTCATCATGTGTCACTTAAGCCTTGCATAATATTAATAAATAAATGATAATTTAATATTTTGGTGTTCTAGAAACAGAAACAATGACATTTTTTTCACTTCTACTTAGATAGTTTAAAATATGTTGCATTGTGTTGCAACAAAAGTTGTATGCTGAAATTAAGTACGAGGGGTAAAATGTAGGTGTGCGGACATATGTTTTTGTAAAGTTGTTAGGTAATGGTTGGATGGTGCTACGCTTCCTTCCACTAGTGATAGTAAAAAATAATGATAATAATAACATGCCGGAAATGGACGACGACTTGAACGGATTTGGTAAATAACTAGACCAGTGACTGAAATGAGGACATTTAAACATTATGTAAGGTACAAATCTGTGACAAGCGCCAAATAATAAAAAGTATTTAGGTGGTGTTGGTTAGAAATTAATGAACTAACATGACATGGAATAAAAATACAAGTTGTAGTGGGTCGCAATGATGTTTTGAAAGATTTGCAATCGATTTAGAATGTGTTGTTGTGTCTTGTTTAGGTTTCTAAGGCTTGATTAATCGGTAAAAGAAAGTGTATCGTGTAGAATTTAAATATAATCTGGAGCTAATCTAAAAAGTGACAGTAAAAACTGTACGCCTATGATATGAAACCTGATATATACTGGCATTATAGAAACTAAAATGATAATTTCACTTTCTTTGCATTGTTCTACTTATTCCACGGACAAACAAAATGCGGTATCGCATGTACATATGTTATTGAAATTAAATAACATTGTAATAATCGTGAGTTTTATTCGAATGTGTGAGATATTTGAGAATTATGTCAAAGAAAGTTAGCTGCTTAGTCCGCACTGCATTTTGATGATGAGAACATAAAAACGCACGTTCAATTTATTTGAAAACACGTGGTCGTCTGTATTTTTCAGAAAATGAAGATGTGTCTTCGTCAAGTTTCAACACGTTTAAATAATTATTATTATATACTAACAGCGTAACGTGCTTAAATGTTACATAATACCTGTTCACCGTTGACATTGAAACACTGATCTTACACTTGAGGTTAATTTGTTTATTGGGGATTTATATTTTTTCACGAACTTAACGTAAACTTTCGTTTCGTAAAAACAAACAGCCCAAAACGTCGCCGTATAAATAAGACGACCGATCACCAAAGAACCAAACACAATCGTGCACCAGACCTAAGGTAATAAATTTATTGTTACGAGTTTCGTTTGCAACATTAAGTTGTGGTGAAATTTCAAAATAGAATGTTGGGTGACCGTGAATCTACATTTCGTTCTCTGTATTGTAGTGTTACAAAATTTTTTGTTACCTTTTTGTTTTTGTCTTAAGAAAAGTTTGGGCACGGTGTATCTCCCAGACTTAAGTTGAAAATGCCAATCTATTACTCAAGAGACTAATGCAACTTTGTAGGAGAATTGGGTTACATTTTCACTTTTTTGTTGTCATAGTATTACGAACAACGAAGAGGAAATATTTCATTATTCAACAATGAGCTTGTAAAGTGTTTTTTGACCTTATTATGAGGAAAAGTTCATTTCGTATAAAATCTCTTGTGAGTTATTTTTGGCTCAGGTTGTGACGAATGAGTCCTTATTATTTCTTAAATGCTATAAATTATTTCATAAAATCTAACCTCGAACTGTACTTGAAAGGACCTTGCTGGAACAACACATGTCAATGAAGCTGGCGAATACAGTGTCAAATCTCAGAAGAATGAATATATGATGTCAGGTCTGGGTAAATAAAAGTCGGTGTAATAAAATACACGATTTATTCAGTCTCATTATATTGGACTTAAAACTGGGAGACTACAACTACAATTAAAGATAAATTATTAGAACATCTTTACAATAAATTCACATAAATGATATATATACAATGAATGTGTGATAAAATAACGATAATAAAATAAATGAGAAAAAAATATATGAAGGTGATGTTTGGCTTAAAGCCTCGTCTTTATCTAGGTCCTGAAAGGATTCTAACGTCACTATCGTACAATATTCTACGTGTGATTACAGCCGCTTCTGAATTGTTCCTCGAATAAGCATCTTTTGGCAGCTTATTGTACAGAATTCTTTTTTTATTTTCTAGGCGTTAGTACTAATTTGAAGCAATCAGGTGGGACCGCCACACATCCAGGATGTACCTTAACACCATCTTTCGCCCTGATGTCGTAATGTTGAAGAAGTGTCGCTAGAACAACGAAACTGAAGCATTGGACGAGTCTCTGACCAATGCACGTCCTTTTCCCCGTACTGAAAGGAATAAAGTGTGCAGGCTTAATAATTCCTCCGCTCGCGGTCAAAAATCTTTCAGGTTTGAATAGCGCAGGTTCTTCCCAGTAGTCTTTCCCTTGATTCAGCTCATAGTTATTGATAAAAACGATCGTGCCTTTGTTAACTTGATGACCGTCGATTTCGGTGTCTCTGCTAGCGACGTGGGGAACAATAGGCGAAGACGCGGTGCGTAAAGTCTCCAAGATGGTGGCTTCCGTGTAAGGCATGGCCGCTTTATCGAAAAGATTAGGGTAGCGGGCTCCGTTGTTTGTTACCGTATCGACTTCGTTTTGGATGCGTTTAGCGACTTCCGGATGCTTAACGACCGCCGCGAGAGTTACCATAACCAAATTTCCTATAGCCGAGTGTCCTCCTAAGAAATCTTCTAATTCGAAGATGATGTGTTGCCAGTTCATGTTCGGATCTTCTTCCAGATGCATCAAGAGCGCATCCGTGAAGTCTCTCGGCTGCGAATTGTAGTCTAAAGTGGATCTGTGCTTATCTATTATTCTAGAGAGGATAAACTGCCGAATTTCCGTCGCCCAATGCGAGATTTTCTTCATGTGTCCGGTATAAACAGGAAGAAGCCAGGGAAGGAAATCGACAGCGTAGCCTTGGTTGATCTCCCAGAAGATTTCGTCGAAGTACCTGACGATCTTTTGGAAGTCCTGGTCGTCGTAGGGGAAGCTAGTCGAGCACATGTACTGCGTGAACATGTTGGCGCAGACTTTCAGGACGGCAGGCTTGACGTCGCAGGATTGGCCGTGCGGAAGCCTAGACAACTCGGCCAAAAAGGAGTCGAGTTCCTCTTCGCCGACGTTGTTGACTCTGTCGTACTGGAGAGATGTGAATCTCGGCGAGCAGTAAGTGCGAGCGATGCTGCGTCGCGTCTTCTGCAGCGAGGACCAGTCACACAGGGCGAGCGCTGAAACAAACATGCAGGTTAGGGGGCAAAAAACGCAGCCTAGTCTCAAGGCCGTGCCGCGGCTCGCCTATCATGCCCGGCACGCGTCAAGCCACGCCAGACCACTTCGCGGAACAGATGGATGATGCCCATTGAGGCGCGTGGACCCACACCTGTGCCTGCGCCACAAATCGCGCAACTCCGCCGCAACTCCATCTACATCCACCCGCCACGAAATGATTGTTGAAACGCGGAAATGCAAATATTGGCGAGTAAAGGAACTCGATGGGGGCCAAGGACGGTACACCGTTAACTAAAATCGACACCGGATTCGGCCGGACCGCGGACGTAATTGATGGACCGTTGCGCGGATCGGGCAGCACAGATGTGCTTATCGACGATTATTTGGTCGAGGATAATGCTATGATAATTGACGTACTTTAGCGCCAATCAGTTTCAGTTTCATTAGAATCCCAAGTTCAAGTTCACGGCGATCGAGTGCGTTGTAGTGGAGCAGTCTTATGAATGAATCGGGCAATCAGGTGCGGTATTATAGAAAGTAAATCCTAAAGCGGCGTAATCGACAAAAACCGCGCCGCGGTGACCTCTTAAACCTAAACGCTCTTGCCGGAATGCATATAATTAGTACCCGAGAGTACGTACGATTTCTTCGCTAACTTTTTACTCGGAATGCTGGACGTTTTAACGGGACTCTCGGTTTTACAGTAATTAGTGATTATACGGTAATGGCAAAGTCGGTTTATATTTTTCGTAAATCGGAGTTCCCGTGCTCAGGCTCGGTCTTAATTAAGTGAGCACCGGAGAAATCAACGATCGCTTAAGCGACGAACCGCGCTACTCTTCCGGGTTCTTTGGCGGTCCGTACGTACGTACGTACGTACGTAAGTAGTATGGTACTACTACAGTCATACTTACAATTGTTGCGGTCGCCGCCGAAGAGTTTGTGGAACCGGGTGAAATCTGGTCTTCCTCCGAAGTCGGCGCCTTTAGCGATCAAAACCTCTTTGATCAACTTGAAGTTGTTGACGACAACGCAAGGGGCCGAACCCAGGTGTATGCTGAAGATGTCGCCGTAAATTTTGCTAAGTGCCGTGAACGCTTGGAACGGGGTTTCGTATCCCGCCAGAAGGTGCATGCTGCCGATGAGTGGCCAAGGCTTGGGCCCCGGTACCGTCGTGGGGGACTTCTTCGGCCGCGAGAACCACCACACCAGCAGCACCATACACAGACCGACTAGCGCGAGCATGTCTGCACCGAGTACACTTAGACTGGTCACTGTGAGTAGTCGAACCGCTACCCTCTATATGACGGCCAGCACTTGACGGAGTTGGTGCGCGACCAATGACAGCTCCCCTCTCTTTCCCCACCAGGGGGTGCAGCTGCGATCTGGAGATTGGTTTGAAGATGGCCTGTGGCCGCCCCCGCCACTAGCAAAATAGGAGTCCCACCGTCTCGCGGCCCGTGACCGTCTACGCCCGTAGTACACTTCGCCAGACCGAAGGTCATCATTTTCCGTAGCAAAATACACATACTGTGAAAATTGACAACCACTTCCTCGCGACGCCGACCCCACATGCGCATTTTTTATAAGTCATCACTAATGGAAACCCGAGCGCGGATCGCGCTTTTGGAGACCTCCTCCAAGCAGTCCCCACTTGACCCACACTCTGCACAAGACCAAACCCATCGACGTCTTGGACCCGCCAGCACCCGGCCATCCATCCGCACACAACGACTTTACACACAATTAGATGCGGGCTTGCTAGCATTACCGTCTAGCGCTCCCGCGAGAAATCCAAGCCCTCGATCGACATGCACTTTCTCGCTAATTCATCATTAGGTACTAACAACTAACTTACTAATAACTAGCCATTTTATTATTCTTCCTTATTACAGAAAACTGTTCATTCCGTTCCGCATATCAAGGGTGAATAAAAACGCTTATCTACCAGTTATCGATTCTTTGCAAACAGAACTTAATTTTTATCGAATCAATTTATCGGTGTAATATTCCAACGTTCCAGTCTGGGTTTTGAAACGGTCTTCTATTTTGCAGACTTTGTGTAATTAGATGCGTGTTAATCGACCACCTACCTATACCTTACACATATTCATATTCTTTAGCGAATTACGAGGTGAAAAAGCCACATGGCAAAATAACACTCATCATCTCTTTGTGATGGTAATTAAGATTTCAATTTAATCTTCTATATGTTAATGAATGATGCTTACTATTTACTACTCATAGTAGTAGATCCAAATAATTTTACCCAAAATTGACAGTAGACGATGGTTAACCGGAACTTTTGCCACAACCAATCGTAACAATTTTCACTCCTTTTCGTGAAATTCGTGTAAATCGTAATTGCTTAACTACCAAAGCATTGTCGAGTGAGAAATTTTTGACTCCGATAAAAATATGTAAGGTCACATGTTACCACAGTACGACTTTCGTTTGTTATCGTTGGTTGACATATTAAAATAAAAAACTACCAATAGACGACGGTTGTATTATTGCTTAAAAATTGTCGGGACGTTATGTTCATCTGAAACGAATAATACGTAATCGGTACCAGCGAGTACCGCATCGAATTTACGCAACAAAACGCGACAAACGCAGTTTGAGCCAACAGTCAACCTCTTTCAATAAGTAATAAGGCCGAATATCGCCGAAAAAGAAAAATATACGTATTCAGATGAGTGAAATTGCGTAAGCAGTAAATCCTCCGCCTTACATGCATGTTTTGTTTTCCAAACAAGACATTCTTATTATTATCACATTCGTCGAAATTACACAATTCTGAATTTACTAGAACCTTTGCGTAGGGTTAAGTCGAAATGAGCTGTTTTTCAGCTTTCGCTTTTTCACTTGATGCTGAAATATGGCGTTGTCACTTGAGCAAGGTCGTGAAATTAAGGAAGACACAACGCCGTAATTTACCACATGATTTTTTGATAAAACGGATTTCGAAGGTAATGCGATACGTAACCGAGCATAATTCACTGACGTTAATTCTTACTTAGAAATAGTTTTTTTCGAAAAAGTCAGGAGTACCCCAGGTTATATAATAAACCAAAGCGACCAATGTTTATACCGAGTCGAACAAAAACCTTTCGGTTTTAGATTAGAATTTTAACCTCCGGAAATTCCCGAAAAATTGAATGGCCGCAAACAAAGACTCAGATGTAATGAGTTACGCAACCAAAAAAGGTAGGTTTTTGCGTAGGGGATAAGCCGCAGAGCGTAATTTTGTGAAGGTTGTGAAGTCTGTTAATGGGATATAAATGGACTCGACTTTAAATGCCTTAACAAGCTTAAGAAACTTTGAAAAAGGATAATAGCTTGAAAAGTACTTAATCTGACTCTTTCTTGACGCGTCCATTGTTGACGTGGTGGTGTGTGCCACAACCGTGTTTAATGGTTCCCGTTTTGTTTACTTTATGAATGGTTTGATCTTGCGGTTGTTGTATAATATATGCTTAATAACAACAAGTGTTAAATACATTTCTGGACTGAGTCATGACGTCTATGTTATGCTTAAAAATGCGTATTATGTGTTTTTTAAATTTGTAAAGACTGTCCATCGTGGCCGTCCGTCCCCTACTTCAGGCGACAATTAAATGAAAAATGCGCGTAGAATCGTGTTCTAGATTACTGAAAATGATCGATTCAGCACTATTATAAACATAAATTTATAAAGTTGCTTAATGAGATTTTTCGAGTCTCGTATTCAGCGGAACTAAGTTCTAGTTTTCAACATCTTAGTTTAATGAATATGAAACGAAAATGGAGAAAAATGATAGTAAGGTCAATGAGTTATTTTTATCTTGGGTGTCGAAATGTCAGAACTATTGGCTTGTGACACAATGAGCGTTCGATTAGTAGTGATGTTTTGAAAGTTTCAAGTTTTAATTGAGAATGGTGATAAAACTTTGTTGATTTGAATTTAATTAATACGTTCATATGAAGCAATTTGGAGTAATTGAGTGTAGAGACTAGAGAGTGTGCAACAAGGGGATTAGTTAGCATCGATCGGAGAGAACGAAACCAACTATTATAAATGTTCAGTAAACTAATACTTCGACAGAGCAATAAAAATGAGTTTTTGTGGGAAATTGGTGAAAAGCGTTCGGTTTTAATTAATGTAAGCGAAAAGACGCCGTCAGACTGAGATATGAACTTGATTAACCTACAATTTCTTAACTAGTTCTTAGTCATTAATTCTAAGAATCGTTTTGTAACATGTTTTTATTTTTGTATATTGATAAGGACATTAATCTTTGCATTTTACCTTTCTTTCGTAATATTGTCTAAAATAATTTCGAAGAACTGGTAATATGTAGATGTCGCTGGACTTTAAAAGCGAAAGCTTTTCACAGAAAGAGTGTTACTTTAATATTCAACGAGAGACTTGAAGCGCAAATTACCTGATCGTTACATACGACAATTACTCTTATTTATCGACGAATCTCTGCATTTTTATTAGACAATTCGATGAATTTTTAATGCACGGCCAATTTAAAAAGCAAATTTCGAAAAAACGTTGAATTATTATGACGCCCTGTTTCTTACCAAACTTTTACCTTTGACGTGCTGTCCACAATTTATGGGGTAATTAAAAAATGTAATAAAACGAAACCCGTGTTTATTAAATAATTTTTTATCGCGACGTTCGAAAAGCCATTCGGTCAGTTTGTTACTCGTGTTGAATTAAATTTTTCTAATAAATCTGTATCAACTGTTACATAATATAATTATATATTCAGCTTGTATAGTTTTCGCTATAAATTCAGAGGGCCACACAAAGAAATGTGTATGTTAATGATTAGACCGTGGGATCCTGATAACTCGTATTCTGATTCGATTTTCTCATATCCAATTTGAACTTGTTGCATGTTAATTAGCGGGAACATTCAAACACATATGTTAATCCAATTCTAATTATCTATATCAGATCGGACATCGATCATAATTGACACATCCGCAAATCACTTTTTCCATCTACAATTCCGACGGCGAAGGTTAAGTGCGGGTCACAATGTCAAAAGTTTTAAGGTAATATAATAACCCACCAGACACATTTCCTTGCTCTATTTTCATGCAACCTAAGGTTGTGGGAACGATTAGTTCCCCACTCTAAATTCAAATCGCACATTTTTCCAACAAATGAACTAGTTAGTGTCAATGACATAATAGATTCATTCCATCATCCATGCAAAAGCGATAAATTACAGGTCGTTTATGAACGAACACGTTTACTATATTCTTTTCTAATCTCCAATAGAAATTGGTCCAGGTGTTCTTATATTTATGTAAATGAATGGCGGATTCATCAGGATTAGAACTATCTACAACCTGTTCTATATCTTCGATCTTGTTTAATTGAAAAAAACCTTACGTTTTATTTACCTACTTCATTACATAATGCTACATTTTATCTCTTGCTCTTCATCCCGTTTTTCCCCTACTCATATCTAATCATACTCGATCGATGTGAAAATTTCATTCCAAATGCAATTACCAGACTGGACGCCATAAATTATGTTCCACTAGGTCGTCTGAATAGCATCATACACACAGTGATACACGCAGAATGCATACAAGGAAGACGTTAAAAAAACAACCTGCTTTTCCTTCTCTTCTTTGCATCATAAATCTTCTTTACTACTCTACCGCATATTTATCTCACCCTTTACATCATTATTTTATTCAATTAGTTACTTTTATATACATATTCATTGAATCATTTTTTATTTTTTTTGTTCTCTTCTTTTGATGACACAGTTCTTCTTTTTACTTTTCCACTGTTTTGGTTTTTAGAGGTTGAAGTCACTTTCTCGTTTGAAGTCGCTTGATGGAGGTCAGGTCGGGTTAGGTCGTGTCAAATCAGATCATATTGAATCCGGTCATTTCCAGTCAGGTTCTGACAAGTCAGGTAACGTAAAATCAGGTTTTGTCGAGTCAGGTCTCGTCGAGCTGATTTTATCTCTGAATTGTCACTAAGTACAAGGAACTTATTATTCTGAAATTTGATTTGTTAAATTGTTGTCATTTTGATTCTAGACTTACACTAATTCATGTTTCAAAATTATCGCTAAATTAATCTGACTTGTAGTTTCGAACATTTAATATCAAATTCTTGACGAAATTCTTAATTAATTAGAAAAAGTCCACTAATTATCCTGCACCTGGATTCCATAACTGGAATTTTCATTTAAATTAATCCAAAATTTCCAATGACCAAGTTTTTGGCTAGAAATTTGAACTTCATATTTTACAGTTTTAAGTAAATTTTGAGTGTTTAATGTGATTAACACGGAATTTGCACTTTTTTCCTCGATGTATCAGTTTGATCTTCATAGATTTTGAGTTATTGTCACGAAATTGAGACTTAACTAAATTTTGAAAATTAATTTGAAATTCTGTTTAGAGTGTTAAAATTTCTACTAATTATTTTGGAATTTCAAGTCCATTCAGTCAACGGTTCAAATTTCGGTTTTTTATCTGGAAATGCGATTTGTAATTAGAAAATATCGACTAATTATCTTGCC